GTGGGGAACAGGGAGCTGGCAGCCAGCTCCAGCATGGGGGTAGGAGTAGGAGCCCTGTGGAATGGGGACTGCTCCAGCCAGGCTAAGCCCAGATTCCTCTTAGTTGGTTAACCAGTTAAATGTTAAGCCAACCTAACGTTTAACCAGTTAACTGATTGACCAGGATTTTATATCCGTTGTGTTGACCAGTGTTACCTAAGTGATACACTTTTGAGGCCACTCAGGCGAGATTCGGATGCCACCCAGCTGGTTAGCAGAGCACGTACAGGTACATTTTTTGTTTCTACTGGTGGTGCACATTTGCACATACCTTGGTGCACATAAAAATTATTCTGCACATGGATGGAAAAGATTAGAGGGATCACTGGTGCTGACAGCTATTGAATCAAACTGTATTTCTGGTGTATAATGGAAACTACTTCAAGCCAAGCACTGCAGAAGTATCTTCCTGCACCCCTAGTTTCGGCAGCTATGGTCTGCTCACACTACTCCCAAAGAACCCATTGCAGGACTGGGCCCTAAACACCTGAAAGAAAAGCAATTTGCGTTAATTTGAGCTGAACATGTTTATTCTCATTGAAGGTGGTGCCTTGCAAAGAAGCACTGTGTCTGAGCCTAGAATTGATTCCTGCACTTTAATCCAGTCAATTACACTCCAAGGTTAGAACAAACAATGCTTTATCCCTTCTGGGACATCAACAAGCCTGTTATTAGCTGCGGACACATAACAAGTAGAGAAGTGTAGGGGAAGAGGGAGGGTGTCATGAAGAAAAGGAAAATACATCAATAAATAGAAAAACACTTCTTCCTTGCAAAATTTCACTTTCTGTACTATTTGACAAGGCACCAGTCGCTGGTACTTCTAAACAATATCACAAGTGACTCAGGAGGAAAATAATAAATACCCAATAGTTAGGAGATAACTCCATAATATTTGAGGTTTCATCCAAAAAATAGTGGGGGAGCATTTAAGTCCTAAAACACTCCTCCACAATTTTAAGTTAATCTTTCTTTGAAAAAAATGATTTAACAAAGAGAACCTATCAGAAATAACAAGTCCTTTTAGCTAGACATGGTTAACTCAAACTATCTTATGCTGAGCTTGATTTTCCATATATAATCTGCTACACAGAGAAGGACTCCTTTAGTTTCTTTAAGAGACAAGCTGCATTAGCCTAAAAATAGCTAGCAGAGTGCTCTAAAAAGAAAGCTAATACTTAAACCCTTTATACAAAAGGATCTGATAGTAAAACTTACCTTCACTGAGTAAAATATGAAGCCAGATAATTAGTAGGATCAACAACAACCCAAATGGCAAACAAAACCAAAAAAAGAGAAGAGGAAAGGTCAAATCATTCACCAAAGGAACCAGAGGATACTTCATAGTTTCAGGTCAAGATAAGCCTACACTGGCTGTTTACTCTGCTTCAGCCGCTACCTTTAGGTAGCATCACAGTGTGTCACAAGGCAACTATGATGTCATTCTCAGCTTAGTTAATATGAGGGACAATCCCCTAGCCCACTGAAGAAGGAAACAAAAAGGATGAGAAAAATAAACTGGAAAGAATCTGGTTTAAGTGCCCCTCCTTATATTGGCAATTAGAAGAGAAACCATACATTAGGAGAACTTCAAAGCCTATACAAATATAATAAACAGTACATCCATGGCTACTGTAAAAAGAGATGACAAGTTACTTTAGTATTTGTCAAAAACAAGATGATTAGCACACCTTCCAAGGAAATAAATCACTGCAATCAGAATCAAACCTACAGAGATGGCTAAAGAGGAGTATTTATATTTACTGGAAAGTTCTTATGTCAGGATCCCTCAACTGAGATGAACAATGAACAACTTTCAGAGAAATGATAGATAGATTAGATAGAATAACTCTCGCAGTCTTTTTGAATCCCTCTGTGATTCTTTCTTTCCTTAACAAGTATATTAACTGTTAAGAATAGTGACCTCACTTCTTTACTTCATTGTTTCCTCTTAAGAAAGGTAAAATATTCCTTTGTATGGGAATCATGGTTTTTAGCTTATTTCTAATCACAAGGAAGTTTGGTAATGATTAAAGCAGAAATGCTAGGAAACAAGTCCTATGGTGCAACTGTGGAAAAATCACTCAACTTCTCAGTATGTTTCTCCATCAGTCAGATAAAACCATTAGTAATCATACATCTCACAGGAGGGTTGTTTTGCTTAATTAATTGTTTGTATAGCACTTGGGAAAATGTCTGATGAAAGGGGTATATAAGTGTCCATTACTATGGTTTGCATGCTTTTAATTTTCTTGTTTATATGTTTGTTTTCTATAGTATTCACAACTTTTTGAAATTTTTATCATGGGTTCTCCAAGTGTTTTGTAAATTCTCATTAATTAAACCTGACAGCACTCCTGTGAGCATGGGAAGTCTTATTATTGCTACTTTGTGTACTGGGTAAATAAAGAAATCAGTGACCTGAGTTTTTAAGATGCTGAGTAGCAAGCAGCAGCTCCCATTGACGTTCATGAGAATTGTAGGAACTTAGCATTTTTGATAATCAGGCTGTTGGTGAATTGCCTAAGGCTAGACAGTCAGTCAGTGGTAGAGAAAGAACAAAATCAAAGCCTTTAGACACAGATCTTTTGTTCTAACTAAAGTCATTTCTTAATCACAGGCATACTAAACATTTAGATAAATATTTCTATTGAAAAACTGTAAAACTGAAGACTTTGAGAGTTTTGACTTCCATAATTTTAGATGAAAGGGTTTAAGGGAAAACATAGCTAGAAAAAAACTCCTCTCTGATCCTAGCATCTTTTGAAAATGAGAAAGGTGGCAAAGTTTGGCTTGTAAGCCAGTTTTACTAGGTATGCCCTTCACAATACGGAATTGTTGTTTCTTGTAGGAGCTCCCATTGAATCTCACTAAACTCTTTTTTCAAAAGTACCCATCTTTCAAATCAGGGGCCTGCAATCTTCTCAAACCAAAGAGCCAAACTACATCAAAATTCAAAACACGTGGTCAAAAGTCAGGAAACAAATAGTCAGGAATAAATGGTCAGTTTTCAGACTGGAGAGAGGTAACCAGTGGTGACCCCCAAGGGTCTGTCCTGTGTTACCTGGAGAGCTGAGGTAAACAATTGCTGTGCTATGGGCTATGCAATTTACTTAAAGCCTAAGGTGCCCTCCCACAGAAGCTAGATTCGGCCTGGTATCCTGTATCTAATGACCAGGGAAACAGCTTAGAAATCACCAAACAACAAGAAGTTAGGGCCAAACCATGTATTTTAAATGTAAGACCAAACATTAGCAAACAGCATACAACTCAGCAACAGTCCCACCGTAACCCTGGAAAAGAAGAAGATAGAAGAGTCCCACACACACAAGGGTATACATTACATTCAAAGCGGCGATTGATGTTCGATGTCTGTGACCTTCAACCTCGCGGCTAGTGAAAAGCTTTAAGGGAGAACAAACCGAGCGATCCCTCGATGGATGCTTCTCGCCTCCTACGAGCTGATGCTTGGTGGGCACTGGATCCTGTCCGAGTATCCGTAAGCGAGACAGTGTTATAAGTCCCAAAGTCTTAGTGGGAGCGGAAAAGGCTTCCCTTATTCCAGTTAAAGTCACTAGCAGTGGGTAGTCTTGTCAGACTGTAGGCTGGAACCTTGGCCTCCTCCGGGTAGACAATGACACAGGGCAATGATGATTACAGACGCACACACAGGACATGAAGGGGGCCAAAGAACACGAATGCTCTTTGACAAGGGTATATAAACATCTCATGGCGGGAAAACCATGAAGAGAGCGGGGTGCAGAGAACTAGAGCTGGGTGCATAAAACTTGGGTGCCGTGTGCAAAGAATGGGTGCACACACAGGCAATTGGGCGGTGTGCACAGCCTTTGGTGTTGAGTGCATAGGTTTAGTGCTGGGTGCACAGCTTTCTTTTACCTGTTTTGGCGGGAAAACTGCTTTGAGGGATAAAGAACCCCTCAAACTCCATTTTGTATTATGCCCAGGCAACAGTTTCCCTCCTTGACGGTGTTACGGTGTGAGGGAACTGAACATGTTACACCGTCACTCTAACATTTACAGTTACAAACTTACATTATATAACTAAATACAAAATGAGTGTTCTTTATGGTAACACTGTCTACATATTGTATCATTATTGACAATATCAAGCTGTCCCTTTTTCTAATACAAAAGTATTCCTAACCTTATGATTAGCCATCTTACATACAACCATAGTCAGTACAATCACATATACTAAAATACAAAAATGTAACACAAAACTGACAATCATGGGGTAACTAATAAAAGGTGACATTTCACTAAAAGATGAAAATACATCCCACCAATTATTTGCATTTATGTTTACACTTGTTTTTGTCTTTACATGCTTTCTGACTTCACTTATTTTATCAACAGCGTGGTGTATAATTATCCCAGTTCTATTCCCTAAATCATTTATTTATTTTACCAGACCAATAAGCTCAGGGTGGTGGAACAAAGATTTCATAGCATTTAAGTTAGGACCAATTGATACAGGCTCGATAGTTCTTATCATCTGCAAACTAATAGTATATTGCTCCTCTGATGGTTC